CTATAATAATAAAATATATTATTAAAAATGCAAAATGGCATGAATTATTTCCATCAAAATTCATTTGCTCTACATTTGGTATAAAAAGAGTGGAAAGACCATTTGCAGAAAGAGGAGGAGTTGAACAGACCCAAGGTGGAGCTGTCTCTTGTGTTATATGACACTGGCAGATTAAAGCCCTGTGATTGGGAAGGGCTTAAAAGCTGAGTCAAAAGCCAAGTCTCTTTATTTACGCCTACCTCCCAGCCCTTGGCAATCTGACTAATAACAAACTGAGCTAACAAGAAAGACTAGAAAGGGAGGAAGGAGAACATTGCTGCAGCTTGGATCTACAACAAAAGAAAGCAAGAGTGATCAGTCTGAGCTCTGTTAAACATCTTGTTTATTTCCTGCATTCAGCAGCTTGCAAATGGTTAACTATATACAAGAAAGTCAGCATAGCTGTGAAGTATGCTGTGAATTTTAATTGGGGGACAAAAGGACAACTGCTTCAGGATGCTCTGATGTGGACTCTGCTTGCAATATTTGCAATGAAATGTGTAACATTTTGTCTCTGACAAGAGATTTTAACTTTCCAAAGCTATGGGACTTGCCAAAAAGTGATATTTGAGAAGAAACTATGTGGTGGTTGGTGTTTTCTTTTTAATAAAGCAATTGAATTACTTTGAACACCTCTTGCAGCTGTGCATTACAGATAACGTCAGGAACGGTTGCTGCTTTACAGGTAAGATGAATGTTTCTAAGCTTTTCTTACACTGATTCATGTATTAGTATGAAATGATTGAATTTATGTGTTTTCCTCTCGTACAAAAATAAAATAATTTTGCCTTAAAAGATAATCAGTTTCACTTTTGGCCAAACTAACACTGTAGCAGATGCCTATTCTCTCAGAGAAGCAGACATGTAGTCCAACAGCTGGTTGTGAAGAATAAATGTAATAATATACCATTTTCTTTTGCAGCATGCAGCTTATTAGGGGACACTAAATGTGTGTACTTCTGGAGAAAAGATTACATCCAAGTAGCATTGTTAAATTTTAAATATCAGTAGAATGTCTCATAACTCTTTGTATTTTGCATTCTATTTTTATAATTTTTTGGCTTATAAATATGTATTTTCTGACAATATGTAAACAGGGAGTTCTGTCTTCCATAGCATTGTATCAACTGTGACGAATGTAGAACCCCCTTTTAAGTTTCTGTGCATTTGTGATAAGATTAGAAATTGTTCTTTAGCATGAAAAGCAAGAAGAGCATGAAAGGCATATAAGATTTGTTTTTTTAAAAAAGGAAATGTAATCAATTGGAAATTATTTGATATTTTCTCAAGATGTACTTGATAAAAGAAATCATTTTCTGTGTTGGTAATTTATGGAGAAGTACTTATAGTGTTTGGGAAGCTAATGCATAAGTTGAAGACTCCAACTGCAAGCTCCTCTATTCTAAGCACAACACTCAGAGCTGTAAATCAAACTATTTCCCCATGGAAATATAGTCTACTAACTTTTCCTGTATTTAGAAAGACTGTAAGTTATTTTGTTCCATCTGTTGCAGTTTGCCTTTTAGAAACTTCAGACTATACAGTTTTGAGCACAGCTGTGTATGTTGGGAAAATTAAAGTTTGCTTTCTATATTATTGATTACGTTCTGGAATATTTTATCTGTTTGTAAATTTTACTTATATTAAAGTTAATATTCATGTTTCACCCAGAAAAATGAAGGCATCTATCAGTTTTTAAACCTCAGTATTCATAAGATGCAGCATTTATCTTTCCACTTGGCTTATGTAAATTAATGGTGTAGTGTTTTACAGAAGAAAATAGGAGATATCATTAGAGGTAAATATGGTTACCTTGCTATTGCTGTCATTTCAAATTTAGAATCCCTTAAGGGAGTATTGTAAATATATGTCTTTAATTTTGAAGGATTTGCTATATGTAAGTTTGTTACCCTGAACTGTCATTTATGAGCCAAATTAGACATATCCTAAAATATTTTAAAATAATGCAGTTTGTGTTAGAGTTGTTTGAAACTTTAACCCATATAATAATGACAATCAACTGCTTAATTAAGTGATGACATTCAGTGCCCTACAACCTGTTTCAAGATGTCATTAGGAAGTCATTTGTTTTAAGCTTATATGGGGCATGGTTTATTCTTTGACAGTAGCCTGAAGTAAGGCTAAAGATCAAGTTTTCTTATTTAGTTTTAATGATTTTTACATTATCTATGAAAGAATTAAAAAGTAGCAGGAAACATATTACATCTAGAAATTCAAAATAAAGTGACATTTGTGAAATTTGATTGGGTATGTGTAAGACTATATGCCAGATAAAATAATGCTTATTACAAAATGCCTCAGGCAGTATAGTCAAAACAGAGTTCTTTTTATAAGGCTTTATTTTATTGCATATCTAAGAAGATAATTTTTCAAGGTTTTTCAAATAGTTAAAGTAATATGTACCTTTGTTAAAGTCAAACAAGTTAAAACACACACATATGAATAAAGGAAATATATACTATATACAAACATGTATATATATATATATATATATATATATATGCAAGCATTCTTTCAAACTATCATTTTTTACATTCTCTATAGTTCTCTATGCTTTTGGCTAATACCTCCATGTTTGTCTTATGCTACAATCCTCTAGGCTTAAACTCATTTAGTTTGAAGTAAAAAAGAAAACTCAAGGTGTTTTCAAATATGCAATTTTGCATTATATTAAAGTACCAGTGGTTCATTTATCCATGAGAACCTGTCTTATTTATTAAAGTGCAGGTTATTTGGCATATATGAACAAAAATTATCTAATATTTTAAATTCTCCTTGTCCTAAATTTTATATGTTCAGCATGATGCAAGTCAAGATATTCCATAATGTGATTGTTTGAGTTTTAAGAGAAAAAAAAAGAAAATTTGATATAGCAAAGTATTCATATTTTCATCGTGGTCAATACTTTCCTTTTTAGAGGAAAACCTATAATTTTGAAATTGTTATTAAAAATCCCTTGTTATTGGATTTTATTTTACAGAATCAGATGTCATCACATGTCAACATGAAGCTGTGGATTTGTCTCTTATATTCATCTTTCCTTGCCTGTATAACTTTTCAATCCCAGACTCCAATACCCTCAGTCAGAGGCTCATGTGACAATCTTTGCAATTGTGAGGAAAAAGATGGAACAATGATAATAAATTGTGAACAAAAGGGTATCAAGACTTTATCACAAATAAGTGTGCCACCATCACGACCTTTCCATCTGAGCTTATTAAATAATGGCTTGACAATGCTTCACACAAATGACTTTTCTGGGCTTACCAATGCTATCTCAATACACCTTGGATTTAACAATATTGCAGATATTGAGACGGGTGCGTTTAATGGCCTTGGACTCCTTAAACAGCTTCATATCAATCACAATTCTTTGGAAATTCTTAAAGAGGATACCTTCCATGGACTGGATAACCTTGAATTTCTGCAAGCTGATAACAACTTTATTACAGTGATTGAACCAAGTGCCTTTAGTAAGCTCAACAGACTTAAAGTGTTAATTTTAAATGATAATGCTATTGAGAGTCTTCCCCCAAACATATTTAGATTTGTTCCTTTAACCCATCTAGATCTTCGTGGAAATCAGTTGCAAACATTGCCTTATGTTGGATTTTTGGAACATATTGGCCGAATATTGGATCTCCAGTTGGAGGACAACAAGTGGGCCTGCAATTGTGACTTATTGCAGTTAAAAATTTGGCTGGAAAACATGCCTCCACAATCTATAATTGGTGATGTTGTGTGTAACAGTCCTCCATTTTTCAAAGGAAGCATACTAAGTCGACTGAAAAAAGAATCTATTTGCCCTACTCCACCAGTGTATGAAGAACATGAGGATCCTTCAGGATCATTGCATCTGGCAGCAACATCTTCAATAAGTGATGATCACATGTCAACTAAGATCATATCCATTTTAAACCCACCTACCAAAGCACTAGGTTTAATACCTTATCTTACAAAGCCATCCACTCAACTTCCGGCACCTTACTGTCCTGTTCCTTGTAACTGCAAAGTCCTATCCCCTTCAGGACTTTTAATACACTGTCAAGAACGCAATATTGAAAGTTTATTGGATCTAAAACCTCCTCCACAAAATCCTAAGAAGCTTATTCTAGCCGGAAATATAATTCATACATTGATGAAATCAGATCTAGTGGAATATTTCACTTTGGAAATGCTTCACTTGGGAAACAATCGTATTGAAGTTCTTGAAGAAGGATCCTTTATGAATCTAACAAGATTAGAAAAGCTCTATCTAAATGGTAACCATTTGACTAAATTAAGCAGAGGCATGTTTCTTGGACTTGACAGTCTTGAGTACTTATATCTTGAATACAATGCTGTTAAGGAAATATTACCTGGAACCTTTAACCCAATGTCTAAACTTAAAGTCCTTTATTTAAATAACAACCTCCTACAAGTTTTACCACCACATATCTTTTTAGGAGTTCCCCTAACTAGGGTAAATCTTAAAACAAACCAGTTCACCCATCTACCTGTAAGTAACATCTTGGATGACCTTGATTTATTGACCCAGATTGATCTTGAGGATAACCCCTGGGACTGTTCCTGTGACCTGGTTGGATTGCAGCAATGGATACAAAAATTAAGCAAGAATATAGTGACAGATGACATTCTCTGCAGTTCCCCAGGACATCTTGACAAAAAAGAATTAAAAGCTCTGAACAGTGAATTTCTTTGCCCTGGTTTAGTAAATAACCCATCCCTGCCAACTCAGAGTAGTTATATTATTGTCACTACTTCTACAACAATGACAAATACAGCTGGCACAATTTTAAAATCTCTAACTGATGCAGTACCACTATCTGTTCTAATATTAGGACTTCTGATTGTGTTCATAACTATTGTGTTCTGTGCTGCAGGAATAGTGGTTCTTGTTCTCCACCGCAGGAGAAGATACAAAAAGACACAATCAGATGAGCAAATGAGAGACAACAGCCCCGTGCATCTTCAATACAGTATGTATGGCCATAAAACAACTCATCATACATCTGAAAGGCCCTCTGCCTCTCTCTATGAGCAGCACATGGTGAGTCCCATGGTTCATGTTTATAGAAGTCCATCTTTTGGTCCAAAGCATTTGGAAGAGGAAGAAGAAGGGAATGAGAAAGAAGGAAGCGATGTAAAACATCTCCAAAGAAGTCTTTTAGAACGGGAAAATCATTCACCACTGTCAGGATCAAATATGAAATACAAAACCACAGACTCATCAAGAGAATTTTTATCCTTCCAGGATGCCAGTTCACTATATAGGAACATTTTAGAAAAAGAAAGAGAACTTCAGCAACTGGGAATCACAGAGTACCTAAGAAAAAACATTGCTCAGCTCCAACCGGATATGGAAGTACATTATCCTGGAGCCCATGAAGAGCTGAAATTAATGGAAAGGTTAATGTATTCTAGGCCAAGGAAGGTATTGGTGGAACAGACTAAAAATGAGTATTTTGAGCTCAAAGCCAATTTACATGCTGAACCTGATTATTTAGAAGTCCTGGAGCAACAAACATAGATTTGAGTTTGAGGGCTTTCACAGAATTGCTGGGATTCTGGCTTAAGTCCAAATCTTGGAAATAAGTGCCTTTTAATGATTTTGGTCATCGATCAGAACTTAAGCACAGCAGTAATCCTATGGGAAAAAAGAACAAGGAAAAGAAACTCAGGGATCACTGGGAGAAGCCGTGGCATATCTTCAGGCAATTTAGTCTGTCCCAAATGAAAGAAATCCTTGCATGTAACTCCGACAAGGATTATATTAATACTTCACCATATACTTAAAAGTGTTTCATAGAAGTCCTCTTGCACATCTCAAAGTGTTGAACATTTAAACAACATTTTTCTTGAATAATTCTACCCTTGAATTGAATAAAATTAGATTTCATCGTTTTTTAAAAAGCACCTTATAATATGTAATGAATATGTTATTTACTACCAGAATATACTTCAAATATGTGCACTGTCAGACACACTAAATTTTTCTGCAATTAATGCAAAAAGAACTGGAACATGAAAGTTCTAAGTTGTGATCATAAAGAAAAAATGGAATGGTTGGAATTTGATGGGGCTTAGTGGCCCAAAACTTTGAACAATGGAGGATCAAACAAATGCCACTCCTATGCTTTCTGATTTTAAAATTCAAAGACAATAGTTCAGGTGGAAAATGAGAGCAAACTTTATGGTTTTTCTACACGTTTTTGTGTGAGTATTCTTAATGTCAATGCTGCTGTGACTAAGGTATATCACTTGTGGTCAAAGTTTAATTCTTCATAGAATATTTTTTAAATGCTACTGAGATTAACTGTAAATATGATTAGAGCACCTATTAAGTTTGCTTTCTTTCATAGAATTAATCCTCTGTAAAGCTGATTACCATGATAGAAATATGTTCTAATATGTTTCTTGTGGCAAGTAATTCAAAGGTATAAAACAAATAGTAAAAAATGTTGTTTTATTTTCATTGATATATACTGATAGATGCCATAAATTAGTAGCAAAAGGCACTTCTAAAGGTAAGTGGTTTAAGTTCCCTCAAGAGAGGGACAATGTAGCTTTATTTTACAAGAAGGTATAGGTAGATTTCTATGAACTATTTATTCTGTACAGTTTTGTATATCTTTGGTTCACAAAATAATTATTCTTGGGTGCCTTTCATGAAAATTGAAAATATTGCTCACTACAATAAAACTAAAATGAAAACTCTATATTCAAATGTGCTTTCTTCAATTAGTGTGTTCTGTAAGTCAATCAAATCATGATTAATTCACACATAAATAGATACATTGCACACATAAACATGCCCATGCACACATAAAAAAAAAAAAGGAGGTTTCCATTTGTTGTGCATACAGAAGTATTTTGTTCACTGTGTGCAAAAAGGGTATTCAATTTCTGAGTATGATTGACACAGAGCCAAACTTCAACACTGAGTAGCAGTTTTCCCTTTCAAGAAATTATGTTCCAGTGGCATACAAATGAAAATGAGTCGTTCTTCTTCTTCTTCTTTTTTTTTTTTTTTTTTTTTGGTACCTGGGATTGAACTCAGGACCCTGTGCTTGCGAAGCAGGCGACGGCACCACTGAGCTAAATTCCCGGTCCCCATTATTCTTCATTGTAATTATAAAACCAATACAGCAGTTTTTCACCAGATAAAAGGAAATTAGTCATGGTGACCTAGGTGTGCATTTTGAACTTTACCTTTGGTCATGCATTTTTTTTGTGAAAGAATATGTTGCCTAGAAGGAAGTGTTTTCTTTAATTGATTTAACAATACATCAGTGGTTTCTGAATATACAAAATGTTTTGTCTTTTAACTCTTACATTTCTACACTATTAATAAATCATACATTCTTCGATTTTGAATCAGAACTCTTCTTGCTGATAAAAATGGTGGAAGTCTTGTTTCATAATATGAAGACTAATTGTGATTCTAATGTGAAATTTTATCACTAGGATTCTCTTTAAAATAATTGACTAGGGCTGGGCATTTAGCTCAGTGGTTCCACCGCCTGCCTCACAAGCAGAAGGTCCCGAATTTGATGCCCGGTAACAAAAAATAAAATAAAATAAAATAAAATAAAATAAAATAAAATAAAATAAAATAATTGCCTATATTACCAGAAAGCAATCAAGAATTGTATATTAAAGTTTCATGTAAAGTCTAAATTTCTTCATTTACTTCAAAAGTTTAGAAGGACAAAGTGGATTTTTAAGTAAAAATTGCAAAGAGTCAAATATATTAGCATATGCTATATTATGTTCTGTATTTATCTACTACAAAATATTTTACACACTAGTGAAGAGTTACACTCTCTAAACAGTGATTTTAAAAATATCCGTCTTAAGAGAAGAACAAAGCAAGAGAAGAAAATATGTTATTGCACTTCTCTTATTCAGTTGAGTATCTGCCAATATTTTTTTATTCCAATCAACTCCATAAAGGTATTAAAAAGATTTAAGAACTTTCCATACCTGGAGGAACTTTGGAAGGGATCCAGGAGTACAGACACAGACATGCTATCAAGAACATTCTTCTCTCTGGATGGGGCAATACATTTTTAATCCTCATTGTTGGTTGCCTGAAGTAAAATGTTTATTTTCCAGCTCATAATCAAGAGAAATAAAGTTACTTATGAAACCAGGTAAGTAAATTGTCCGAATTAATTTATACACAAAGAAGAAAAGCCAGTAGGAGTCTTCAAACAAAGAATATAACAAAAATTCCCCATACAATTGTAAAATAGCTTGGTTTCTAAACAGCATGCTATTTTTAAGATCAAAATGTTTTACTCAAGATGGAGTCTTTCTTATGTAATTTGTTTCTTACTAGTTGTTGAGAATTTACTATGGTAGCATTCTTTGTCTGTCAGAGTTTAAATCTAAGAATTTCAGAACTTGATGATTTCACCTGCATTCCCTATTACTACTGCTTCCTACTACACAAAGAAGAATTTTTGTTATATTCTTTGATTGTTAACTTAACCAACTTGGTCTCTTTCTGTAACTGTGTTTCTTATTTTGTACTTTATTTATGTATTAGGTTTATCAAATGAGAGAAACCACATGAAGTTTAAGCTTGTGTGTCTGACTTCACTTAACACTATGGTCTCAAAGTGTAACCATTTTTCTACAAATGATTCAAGTTTATCCTTCTTTATGGCAGAGTATACTTGCTTATGTATAAATACCACATTTTCCTTATCCATTCATTTGTTGATGGATATATAGGCTGCTCCAGTTTCTTAATCAAAAATTCTATTTCAGCATTCTCAGCCTTAGTCAGATGGCCAGATCACAAAAGAAAGGCTTTTTTGTTGTTGTTGTTTTGAGATAGGTCTTTCTATGTAGCCCAGGCTCGCCCCAAATTCACAGTGATCCTCCTGCCTCTTCCTCCCAAGTGCAAGAATTACAGGCATGCTCTACCATGCCCAGCTACAAAGGCTTTTAATTATATTCATTTGTTTATTGATTTATATAGAAGTTATTCTCTGCTCATAGCACATCAGTAAAATTATGATGGATGTTCAAAAATAGAATTTTTAAAAATATAGCAGCAGTACTAGTGTATATATTAATACTAGTTAAAATACTTTTAATTCTCTGTAAATCTGTTAGACATATTCTGTCAATGTTTTCTAAAAGAATCATATTTTTCTCAAATTACATTAAATTAAATATTGTAACTTTATAAGTATTCTTAGTTATTTTCCATTTACACCCAGAATGGGATAGAAATAGTAATATTACATAAGACATTTTTATATCAATGATGTTCACTTCTTTGGATTAATCTCATACCAAGGCAGAGAGAAAGCCTTTCCTTAATGTTGTAATATTAAGTAAAGTGAAGCATCACTTAAGTTACCTTAAATAGCCTTGATGCTGTGGCCAAACTAATTCAAGGCTTATGCTTTGAGTGAGGATTGAAGAATGTGATGTGGGTACCCTTTATCATTAAAATACAGCATTTAAAGTAATAGTTTACATTTTTCCTCTAATGTTCTTCTATACATGTGCAAAACTAATCTATCTCTTGATAACTTTCAGTTGCTAAATAGAATATATGGTATACTCTAAGGTATGTTTTAAAAGCTAAATTTATATATTATATATTACATATTATATTATGCTATCTTACATTAGTTTGATGAACAAATAATAAGATACAACATCGATATACTTGCAATTTATGGTGAACTGAGGATGGAACTCAAGGCCTTGAAAAATATTTTAAAAGAAGAAGGATGCCTATTTGTGGGATAGTTTAATCATAACTGTTTTCTGGTTCATATTAAAAACTCAGATAAAAACCCAAATAAAACTCAACAATGCTTCCAATAATATCAGAATGTCAACAAAATTATCATGAGAGATTATTTTCTGAGCGAAAAGAAAATTATATAGGTATGTGCAAATGCATTTTGCCGAGGAAAGAATAAGTTTGCTAGTACTTGGGAAATTGATTCATAGTGAACATGTGAATTCCTTACTATTTCTTTTACCTGTAGAACATTGTGTGAAGAAGAAGGAATATTATAAGAGGAAAAGCTTTTCCTGTTATAAAATGAAATTCCAAGTCTTTCTTAAGAGAATCGGTCTTATACCTGGCAGCCAAATTGTGAATGATCTTATCAAAGAGCAATAGACAACTGATTAAAAATACAGGATTCCTTTTAGCCTTTTCAATTCCACTCATTATACAATGGTGACATTTCCCATTCTCTAAATTTGATAACTTAGCAATGTGTCAAGTAAAAAATAGTATATAAGAATTGTTTATCATTGATTACTATTATTTAATAATTATTAAAATTATTTTAACAACTATGTATTTTATGGAAATAATCCCCATTATATGCCTTATAGCTATAACTAATTTTTGAAGATGAATTTATGTTTATTGCATATGTATCTAATTTATGTATATGTAACAGAAGAGACTGCAGGTGTAAAGTCCTCTTGTAGCTGCTTGGAAAGCATAATCAAATAGACAAATACTCTTCTGTTTATAAATGTCTTTCAGTGGATTAGTGAATAAAGAAAGGCAACAAGTCAAAACAACAAATGTCAGATGCACACACATGTTCTTGTTTTTCAGATTTAAAATATTTAAATTTGTACACTTTTTAAATCGAATACTTTTATTTCAACATTTTAAAACATGGAAAGCAGGAAGACCTTCTTAATTAACTAGGAAGACCTAGTAATTATTTGTCTCTTCATATCTCAGTGATTTTATTGTGGAGTAAATTGATTATCTGAAAGTGAGTAAGGTGTTTTAAATTATTTATCTTGTGTAAGATATCTAGATATATAAATATCTTGTCATATTTTGTTTCATAGAAGTTTTGGAAATGTTATATTCAAAAATAATCATCATCTTGCAAGATGAACTTGTTCAATTTTAAATTTACATAGATATCAACAACGAAATCAGTATTAGTGAATGTATGTTAAGTGTAGTTTAATAAATATACTTTATCCTTGGTGTTCTGAGCATACAAAGACATGTAAACTCTTATTACTCTTATTAACTTTATATGATTCATGTTTTCATAAGCTAATATAAAAGCGCACAGTAAAAGAAGGAAGTTAACATTGGATTTCAGAGTACTCCTCATTCTTAAATAATTAGAATTAGCTGAACTAATGTTTAATATGTCTTCATTCTTTAAATTCTGCTTTATCATATTTTAGGCCATATTCTTAGCATTCCAAAGTACTCTGGCCTAGAAATATTAGACAACAATCACTCAAATCCTAGATAGCAGCACATGTTACATATCATTAGATATATCTATTTTTCATTTTACATATAAAGGAGTTAGGAGATTTGCCTTTTATCATACAACTATTGGAAATAACAAGTCTGGAATTGGAACCTTGTTTTATTGCTGCTATTTTCTTTGTGATACTCTCAGGGCAGTGGTCCTTATTAGATTGCCTCTAATAGCCATGAGTATTTATTGGCCATGTGAAATCACAGAAAATGTGTGTGACTTGTCCTTGTACACACTTTGCTTCTGTGTTCAGGTATAGCATTTTTAACATGTTATTAAAAGAAATACTAGACATTTGCTTAATTTTAGTAGGAGACTGCATAAATAAATATTATTGAGTAATGTCACATTTTAGACATAATTTTTAAAATATAGAAAGATGTATCAGTGTAAACAAAAGATACTTGTGAGAGAAAAATTATTGG